TCCCTGTCATTCCCTCATTCATTGCTCATCCCTTGCCTCTCCTTCCCCCGGGCCCCCAGCGGCGGCAGTGGCTGCAGGAAGCCATGTCGGCGGCCTTCCGGGGCCAGCGGGAGGAGGTGGAGCAGATGAAGAACTGCCTCCGCACGCTGTCCCAGCCCACGCCCGCCGCGGCTGGAGAGGCAGACCAGGCGGCCGACCAGCAAGAGCGCGAGGGGGCCTTGGAGCTGCTGGCTGACCTGTGTGAGAACATGGACAATGCCGCGGGTGAGGCCCCGCCCCCGACACCCCGCCCAGGCCTCCCCCACGCCCTCTGCACCTGGGTCCCTCCTGCCTCCCCAAACCCCAGTCTCTCCCTCATTATGTCCATGTCAGGCAGGGCAGGCTCTCCTGTCCCCCACAGCCCACGTGGGGGCCACCCCTTCCCTGGCTACCCCTCTAATCATCCACTGGCCCTCCAGAGAGCTCGGGAGAGGGGCGCCTGCCCTGGGTGGGCAGTCAGGCTTCACAGGCCTCCCTGAGGGGTGGCATTCCTTCGGAGGCCCATGGGATTGTTTCTAGAAAAAGCATTCCCGGGATTGGCTGGTTTTGTGGGACCTCAGGTGTAGGGTCTGAGTGTGCTCAGTGCCCCTGCTTCACTTCCAAGTGTGGTGTGTAGTGCCCGGGAGCAGCAGCCTGCCAGCGGCCATCCAGGGTGCAGCAGAGGGAGGGGCAGAAGGAGGATATGGACCTTTGGCTAATTGCCTCCTTGAAAGACCTCCAACAGGAGGCCTACAGGAACTAGATGGTGCCCGCTTCCAAGACTGAACATTTTGACTCAAGGTCCAAGAAGAATCTTTCATCAAAAGCTGGGGATGCAGAACAGAATGCCAAACTCTCAGGGACTCCAGCCTGGTGTCATAGACCAGGATGAACCCTCTAATCTTTCAGCCTTAAACCAAAACCATTCCCAGAAGGCCCCTTAAAACCGAACCCAGGTTTAGTTGAGCTAGGAGACAATGTCTGCCTTGAGCCATGTGCTGTTTAAGGTGTGTGTAAAGGGCGGGGAAGAAGGCAGCTGCTGGGGTCCATTCCATTTCAAGGGGACCCACGTGCATGCCAGCCCAGGGCTCTGCATCCAGAAGGGCAGCTGGTTTTTCAGAAATAGGTGACCAGGCCTTTCTTCTGAGGTGCCAGGGGGTGGACTTGAACCGACAACCTTGAGGTTTTCAGTCTAGCTGAAAACTAGGCCGTCCAGTCCCACCAGACCTGCCCTCTCTCTTTCTCCCCATCCATCTCCCCGCTGCCCCTCCTCTCCGAGCAGACTTCTGCCAGCTGTCAGGCATGCACCTGCTGGTGGGCCGCTACCTGGAGGCGGGCGCCGCAGGCCTGCGGTGGCGGGCGGCGCAGCTCATCGGCACGTGCAGCCAGAACGTGGCGGCCATCCAGGAGCAGGTGCTGGGGCTCGGTGCGCTGCGCAAGCTGCTACGGCTGCTTGACCGCGACGCCTGTGACACGGTGCGCGTCAAAGCCCTCTTTGCCATCTCCTGTGAGTTTCGGGGGTGGGGGTGGGGGCGTGGGCGGGGCCTGTGTGGGCGGGACGGGGCCTATCAGGGTCATGGGGGCTGCCCCTGATCACGTTGGCGAACATACTGTTTAACATTGAATGGAACTGGCCGCTCGGGCTTTCTGGGTTATCATCTTTATACTAGCAGATCGCCAGGCCTTTCTCCCCCAGAGCCACGGCTGTCTTTTAGACAGCACACCAGTGGCCCCTCCGAGGCCCCATTGAGTGGTTTCTGACTCAGCAAGCCCCTGGGACAGATTGGGACTGCCCCAGAGGGTTTCCTATGCTGCCATCTTGACAGAAGTCAAACCCCAGGTGCCCTCTCCCAGGGAGTAGCCCCGTATGGGAGCCAGCCCACATCCAGATGTGTCCTGAGGGACGGCTGTGTAATTGAAGGGAAGGATACCAAGACAGAAGTTTGGGGGCACTCAACTCCATGAAGCTAGGTCTGAGCAGTGGGAAAGAGAGAGAGAGAATGTTAAAAAAAAAAAGAGAGAGAATGTATTCTTTCACCAACTTACGTAAGGTAGTCTTGGAGCATGCAAGCCCTCCTAATTACAGGTAACCACATGCATAACAAAGTGGGCTGTACCCTAACCTTAGAGGGCCATGAGCTCATTGGGGTATAACCTAAGGGGGAGTGACTGTCCCCTGAGCAGGGAGAGCAGTAGCAACGTGTCTGCTCCTATAGATAAAGCCGCCGGCCAGATAGCCATCAGCCCTGTGCTTGTAAGAGGTCTCATTGGGGCAGCACTATGATGGGAGGATATCGTGGGGATGATGTTTAATTAGGAGACCGGGACTGGGACTCATCCCCAACTCACAAATGAGAAGGCCTCCCTCCACTCAGAATCCTAGCCTCCCAGGCTTCTTCAATAGTGAGAATACAGAATTTGTCCACTTATGCTCTCTTCCCGGTCCTCCATTTCCCACACTGGGTTCTGCCCGCTGCCCTTCCAGTTAGCCTCAGATACCTAACCTTTTGTTCCACCCGGGACCCTGCTGCAAAGGGAGGAAAGAGCCCCCACCTCCCCCGCACCCCCCTTTCAGGGGGCAACAGAGTGGATACTGCTCAGTTAAAAAACTTCGGGGGGGGGGGCACAGAGGGGGGAGCCTGGAGGCAATCCTGACTCTAAGACCCCAGGTCACAGGGCAGACTGACTGATGGCCAGGTCATATAACCCAGCTTGGACAGAGGCTAGCGGGTTCAATCCGCCAACCTCCTGGTTAGCCCCTGAGCGCCTGGCCACTGTGCCTGTCGGGCCCCTGTACTGAGGGGTGACTGCCACTGGCATGGAGTCAGTGCTGGCTCCCAGCGACCCTGTGGGCAGGGTAGAACCTCCCCTGTGGGTTTCCCAGACAGCAACTCTCCATGGGCGCCGAAAGCCTTTTCTTTCTCCTACGGGGTAGCTGGTGGCTTCGAACTGCTGACCGTGTGGTTAGCAGCCTAGCGGTTAAGCCCTCGGCTGATAACTGACAGGCAAGCGGGTCCAACTCGCCCGCCCAGTACCTTTTCAGGAGAAAAGATTGGGGCTGTGCACCCACAGAGATGGCCGTCTAGGAGACGAGACAGACGTTCCGTCCTGTCACACGGGGGCCCTATGAGTCGGTGAGCGGCACCGCGTCAAGGGGGACGTTGGAGCCACCAGTGGGACAGTCAGTTCTGCACTGGATGCTAACTGAGATGTAGCCAGCTCACTTTTGCCTGGGGCACCTCGGAGGAAAGGCCTGGCGATCTGTTTCCCTGAAAACGAGCCTCGAAGAACCCTCTGGCGCCCAGCCCTACTCAAGACACTCAGGGGTCACTACGAGCCCGGGGCCAACCCCACAGCCACCTGGTTTTGGCTGAGGGCTGGGGCGAAGCGGGGCGTGAGGGTTCCGTGTGGGGGGACAGCTGCGCAGCGCCACGCTGGATCAGAGCGCATTGGGGGGCACATTTTAAAGTCGGGTTTTGTGCTGTACGTGACATTTGATTTGATGGCTGCTTCCACTAACGCTGATTGTGGATCCAAGTCATATGGAGGCCTTGGCGACCTCCGTTGTCATTCTGGGGCCAGGGGGTGGGGTGGGCTTGGGGGCAGCTAGGAAGATGAGACGGTGGGGAGGGCTGGACAGCCGGAAGAATGTCCACAGCGTTGTCGCTGAGTTGTTATGTTTACAATGTGTCGAGTTGAAGGTCTGTTTACACCATCCATTTTCAACCAGAAGTCATTTAAAAGAGAGGCGGTGCCCATGACTGCAGTGTGCCCTGATGGAAGCTGCCCCTCCCCGCCCCCACCCTAGGCCTGGTCCGCGAGCAGGAGGCGGGGCTGCTGCAGTTCCTGCGTTTGGACGGCTTCTCCGTGCTGATGCGGGCCATGCAGCAGCAGGTGCAGAAGCTCAAGGTCAAGTCAGCCTTCCTGCTGCAGAACCTGCTGGTGGGCCACCCGGAGCACAAAGGTGGGGCGGCCGGGCCTAGGCAGGGCTGGGCGGGGTGGGACAGCCCGGAGGTGGAGGAGAAGGCCAGGGTGGCGGGCAGCTGGCGCTGGCCTGCGAACTGACCTCAGAGCCCCGCCCCCCGCCCCAGGGACCCTGTGCTCCATGGGGATGGTGCAGCAGCTGGTGGCCCTGATCCGTACAGAACACAGCCCCTTCCACGAGCACGTACTCGGAGCCCTGTGCAGGTGCGCTGGGGGTGGGGCTGGCGGGGCGGAGACTGTTTAGGAGATGGGGGCGGTGCTACCCCAGAAAAGTTAGGGATCTGAGTCCACCCCAGAGCCGAGGAGCCAGCCCACTCTGCTCCATTTCCACCACATCTGGAGGGGAGGGCATGGGTGGCACAAACAGCGACGTGCGGGGCCGCCAACCCAAAGGTTAGCTGTTGAACCCACCCAGAGGTGCCTCGGAAGACAGGCCTGGCCACCTGCTGCCACAGGGTCCCAGCTCCGAGGACAGTTCTGTTCTGACAATCACGGGGCCACCCGGGCGTTGGGAGGCCACGTGGTGACAACCAGCTTGTTTTTTGTGGGGGACTGGGTTTGGGGTCGCCGGTGTGCAAGCGCTCAGCTGCTAACCAAGAGGATGGCAGTTTGAGTCTACCCAGAGGCACCTCGGAAGAGAGGCCTGGCATCCCGCTTTAGAACTCTGGAGCAATGGTCTACCCTGACTTACCAGGAGGCGGGGTTGGGCTTGGGCTGCAGAGGTGAAACAGGCTTAGGGTTAGGGGAACGTGACCTGCTGGGGCGGGAGGGGACGGGGCTCACGTGTGAACCTCTCTAGATGTGTCCAGCCACAGAACCAGTGCGGGACAGGAGGGCTGAGGACGTCCCCTGTCCCTGCAGCCTGGTGACGGACTTCCCCCAGGGCGTGCGGGAGTGCCGGGAGCCGCAGCTGGGCCTGGAGGAGCTGCTGCGACACCGCTGCCAGCTGCTGCAGCAGCACGAGGAGTACCAGGTGCCTGGCCCACCTGTGACCGGGAGCTGGCGGGAGGTGGGCGGGAGCCTGGCAGTGGGCGGAGCTGGAGGGTGGTGGGTGGGGCCCCCTGGCCGTGCAGGGCCTGCCTTTGGGAGGGCGCCTGGCCGTGGGTGGGAGCTTGGTAGCAGGCAGAGATGGAGAGTGGGGCTTCAGGTGGGGGAGGCGTGGTTGGCAGCAGGGCGGGGTCCTAGCACTCAGGCTCCGCCTCTCGTCCTGGTCCCTGGTCAGGAGGAGCTGGAGTTCTGTGAAAAGCTGCTTCGGACCTGCTTCTCCACCCCCACGGACGACAGCATGGACCGGTGAAGCCGAGGCGACTCCTCGCCCCTCCCCATGGGGACCCCGACCCTCTCCCCGCACCCACAGAGCCCTCTCCCCAGGGAGGGCAGGGCATCGGTGTGCCTCTGCCCAGCCCCCTGTGGGGGTCGCTGAGAAAGGCAGCCGCCCCCTACCCACCTCTGGCTTTGATCTCATCCCAACCTGTCATATCCACAGCACCCTTCCAATAAAGCCGTTTCTCCTGCCCCTGCCCCACAGCCTGTGTTGCCTTCCCCGAAGGTGTGTGCTGCCAGAATGGCCGAAGGGGAGGGACGGCCCCGAGGGACGTGGGCCAGCCCCCAAAAGAAGGCGGCCCCTAGCAACGGGGCCAAATAAAAGTGTCACTCTTGTGATCCGCCGTGTCTGTGTGCCGTTCATCGTCCACCTATCCCCTTCTGCCATCGCCCACAGGACAGAACTGCCCCCGTCGTGCCGCGGTGGCTTCCGGGTGGCTGCGGTCCTTCACATCCCCACAGCGTCAGCAGAGCGCCCAGGCCAAGACAGACTAGGAAGAAGGACTTGGCGGTCCACTTCGGAAAGAGCTGGCCATGTGACCAGCCGTGGAACACTGCCCAACGTGGTGGGGGCACGGCCCCTCAGGCCGGACGGCAGGCATTCCGCACGTGACACTGCAAGGATGGGCTCAGGGGCCTGATCTTTGGGGAGTCCGTAGGCGGGCCTTTATTGGGCGGTGCCTCAGTGTGGCCTCCGACCTTTTCGTTAGTGCCGAGTGGGTCAGCAGCATTCGCACCGCAAAGGGCTCCTACTAGAGGCCCAACCCGCCTTAGGGTAGACATCTTCCCTCCCAGAAGCCCTTGCGGTGGGGCACAGTCATGTGTCCTCAGCCGCACCAATCAGAACGCTCCTGGCGGGTCTGGCGTGGGCACCTTGTGACGGGGTGACGCCACGCCCCATATTCTACTGGGAGCGGGAGGGAGGTTTGTGCCTAGGGTCCCCCGGCTGACTTAGGATGGGTGTGAGTATTGCTCCTGGGAGAGAATCAGCATTAGCATCAACCCAAAGCTGATTATTAGGCGGAGGTCAGGCGTTCCTCTGATCCAACCCTGCTACCGGTTCTGACGCCAGCCCCGCCCCGCCTGCTCCTGTATCTACTGTGTGATCGATTGCAGTGGCTATGCTGAACTTAGGATGCAGTTCTTCAATCAAGACGGCTTCTCTGGTATCTGGTCCCCTCTCTGCCCCAGTCCCTTGACCCCTGCTTGGGCCTGTCCCCTCTCTGCCCCAGTCCCTTGACCCCTGCTTGGGCCTGTGTCAGGAAGCTTTTTAACGCTTCCCATCAGTGGTCTGCTCACAAGGCCCTTTCCCATTATACCGTCTCTTGCTGGTCTCCTGCTTCTGTTGCCGCCACTTCTCTGCCACTGTTTCTCATCGTCCCTGGTGCAAAAACTCTCCTTGTGGCTCTGGATCTAGGAGGTTCTCAACACAGGGATCACGGGTCCAAAGCACACGCTTCTCCTGTCTTTTCCTTCTTGGTGGTTGTGTGGTTCCCCACCACCCACCACCCACCACCCTCACCTATGGGATGGCTCATTTTAAACCTAGCAGGATGGCAAGAACGACCAATCCCCTCGTTAGGGCTCCATAAACCCACTGCCATCAATCTACTTCAACTCAGCGACCCTAGATAGGGTTTCTGAGGAGGTTAATCTTTCAGCCTCATCTTTCTCCCGTGGGGCTGCAGCTGGTGGATTTGAACCATCAACTTTTGATTAGCAGCCACGCATTTAGCTATAGCATCATCTGGGCTCCAAGTGGAGGCTAATAAACCCCAAAACCAAACTCATTGCCATTGAATCAATTTTGACTCAGAGCGGCCCCACAGGACAGATTAGAACTGTCCCCTGAGTTTCCGAGACTGTAAACCTTTACAGGAGTAGAAAGCCTTGTCTTCTTCCCGCTAATAACCTCTCTTAAAACGCACTGCTGTTATTTCAACTCAGTCTCTACTAAGGTTGGGGAAAGGAGGCCTGATGCCACAGTGCTGAATGGCCAGCTTCTAACCTAAAGTTCGGCAGTTTGCATCCTCTAAGGGCTCTGTAGGAGTAATATCTGCTGGTGCATTCCTGTAAAGATTCCTCTGTATGGGGTAGGGAGCACTAGAATGGATGGTGATTACACAACTCATTTTTAGTAAAAGATCATTTTATTGGGGACTTTTACAACGCTTGTTACAATCCATACATTGATTGCATCAGGCATGTTTGTACATATGTTGCCTTCATTCATTTTTAGACATTTACTTTCTATTGGTATCTCTGTACCCGCTCTTTTTTCCCCCTTTCCCCAACCCTCATAGCTCCCGCCCCGATAGATTGTAAATTTTAATTATTTTCATATCTTACACCAACCGCTGTCTCCCTTTCCCCGTGTTTGCTGTTGTTCTTCCCCATGGAGAGGGGTGTATGGATATGTATCAATCCTTGTGATCGGTTCCCCCTTTTTCTGCCCCCCTTATCCCTACCCTTCTGGTATCGCTATTTCCACTTCTGTACCTAGCCTCCGTGTGTCATGAGCTCCCATCTCTTTTCTATACCTGTGTACATGCTCCGGTCTAGTCTAAATTGAGAAGCAGTACTGGGGTCTAGATAGTGGGGGTACACAACTCATTTTCAAAGCGATTTAACCATGGGCCTGGGGGAGAACATTCTAAAATTGATTGTGGTGGTGATTGTACAATTCTTCTTGATATGATTGAATATTGAATTGTATATTGGATTTCTGAGATTTTTAAAATCTTTATGGGAGCAGACAGCCTCATCTCTCTCCTGTGGAAAGGCAGGCGGGTTTGATCCAGGAACATTGTGGTTACCAGTTCAATGCTGACCTGACAAGGGCACCAAAACCCAACTAAACCAATTTTTTTTTTGAACATGAAAGAGGAAAAATGTATTAGCCAGCGACCCTGAGGAACTAAGCTCTCACTGTCATGAAATCGATTCTGGCTCATAGCAACCCTGTAGGATAGAATAGAATGGCCTCCTGTGGGTTCGGACTTCTGAGCTTGGGGCTAGCAGCCCAACGACTCTGCCAACAGGGCTCCTGTGGGTTCGGACTTCTGAGCTTGGGGCTAGCAGCCCAACGACTCTGCCAACAGGGCTCCATAAAGATTATGGAACCTAGGAATCCCTATGGAATCACAATATTAAAGAATTCTGAAACAAGGGCTAGAAAAACCTTCCCTTACAAGTTAAAGCTTTGTACAATAAGTAAACTACAAAAATCTCACTGCCAAAGAGTGGATTCCGACTCAGTAGCCCTGTAGGACAGGATAGAACTGCCCCTGTGGGTTTCCAAAACTGTAACTCTGCGGGAGTTGAAAGACTCATCTTTTTCCCTGTGCAGTGAGTAGGGCAGAGACGTACTGCGATAAGACCAGAGAAGGCGTCGAGAGAATAAGGGGTGATTCCGAACCCGCTAGTCTTGGTTGGAGGGTAAGTCTTGTTAAGAGAGAAAGTCCGGGATGGATTTCCCAGGAGCGCCACCCTGGAGAGATCCAGAAAGCGGTCGGAGAAGAGCTAATTTCCTAGCGGACCAAGCGAGCGAGAAGGGAAATCCCGGAGCTGGATCATTACTGGAGTACGGAACGGAGTGATAGGAGAAATGGGTTGCGGCGCACAGTGGCGCCTGCGCACTGGGCCGTCGGGGTTTACCGAGGATAGACCGTTGGCAGGAAGGCGCGCAATCGCGGCTGCAGCGGCGTTCTGGGAGGGTGGGGCCCGGGAGCGCTCGGGCCTGGCACGCATGCGCACCACGGGGCGCGGCCGCGACGCACCTGCGCACGGAGAAGCCGCGGGAGGGCGGGGCCTCCAGCGTTCTGGACGCTCGGAGGATTGTGGGACAGTGGCGGAGGGAGCCGGGCGTCGGAAGGCCTGAGGCGGGCTGCGGTCGCCGGGTACCCCGACGGTTTGGGGAAGGGAAGGTTGAGGAAGTGGGCCTCAGCGTTCGTGGGTGGCTGCTCGCCACTGCGGCCTCTTGGGACCTCGGAGGAGGCCCTCGTCCCCGTCCGCCCTCTGCGCTTTCGCGGGGCGCGGAGCTGAGGAAACCGGGGCGACGCCTCCGGACGCCGCTCAGGCCTCGCGGCCCAGCTCGCCGTCCGCGGCCCTCGGCGTCGACGCCCCGCA